AAAGGAGGCTGTGGCTTCATAGAAAACATCAGGCAGAAGGGGCCTCAAAAAAACCATGTGAGAACCAGAGCTATACAGGAAGGTCAGATTTGGGCAGGGAGCGATCAGAACATAACTAGTCCTTTGGGCTACTTAGAGCAACTTGCTCTGTAGAACCCAGCAGTTGTAACTACAATTACAGGGAGGGCAGACATTTCTGAACAAGTTCCTTGCATCATTTCCCCCCACTCGGGCTGTCCTCACTGCAATCAACCTCCCTCACTCAGGATCTAGACGGCTGCGTCACCTGCAACCTTGTTTGGCATCCCTGCCCATAACCTTGGCATTGGAGTTTACAAAGACATGAGAAAAGACGATCTGAAAGCAATTTATACACCCTCCATCACCACTACTGCATCTCATCATCACTGCTAAGACATAAGAGCCACCACTACAGGCTAACTCGACAGCTGTAATCCAGGGATACAGCCACAAAGGGGTAAGGTGGCTGGTGGGCTTCTGGAATAATTCCGCCCTAGTTTCAAGGGTAACAAACATGAGATGAGAATGCCCACACACGGCCAACTTCCGCTGGTGGGTGGTGAATCCAATTCTGTAGCTGTTTCATAACCCTCAGCTCTGAGCATGGAGTTCAGTTCACCACAAGCTGAGCTGAGCTACAGTGCAGGCCTGTGGCCAGTAGACCTCCTTCCTATTTACAAAAGAAAAAGGATGAGGCAAGAAGATAAACAAACGAGAAGTAAAGTGTAAGGACAGAAAAGGAAAGATAGAAGCAAAGGAGAAAAAATAGACAAATAAAAACAGATTGAATGTGCCTCCCAGAACATCCACCTTCCAGATCTGTCTTTGGAGTCACCCAGAACAAGCCCATACCTTTCTCAAAAGTCTTGCACTTGCAATGATAAGTATTTGTCAGCACTCACCCTGCACCAGACAGTGCATTGGGTGATGTCTACATACACACATAGACAGATACAGAAATATACATATGTAGTGATACAGACATGCACCCACATGCATATACAGATACAGATATACACCCACAGATAAACTCATGTACTTATATGCACACACATACATAAGCACATTATACACACAAACATTATTTCCCTTCTTCCTTCCACAGTTCCATGTTAGTGATGGTGGTGGTATTTGCTACACATAGATGTTACACAATTTGACCAAGGCTGCTAGCCTCCTACACCTCTTCTGGAGGCTTTCTGGTTTGTCAATGTCCCCTTCTAAATGCAAACCCATGAATATCATGTTCAGAGGGGTCCTAGCAAACCCAGTGACCAGTAAAGCCTCAGTTTTATCAGAAGGGGCTGGAATGGACGAACGCTGAGGTCACATCTGCTTCTGACATCCTCTGCTTAAAGCACAGAGTTTTCACCCAGGCCACCTGCTATTATTAAACTCAACTATACATGTAGATGAGATCTCAGAGCTTTCTGTCTTCCCTGCTGATCTGACTCTCTTGGGCTCTCTCCCTTGTCCCTTTCTGCTGGCAACTTGGAGGGGCTCTGGCTACCATGTCCCTCTGGCCACTCTAAAAAATAGCCAGAGAGAAACCCCTGCAAGCTCACACTCACCCTCAAGGTCTGCTCTGGGCCCTGAAGGTCCCAACCCTAGTCAGCACCTCTAGGGAAGCTGGGATTTATCATAATGCCCAGCTGCTCCAAATGTCTAACGAAAAAGGCACTCTGTGCCTTTAATCTAAAGTTCTGTGCACCTGGTTCCAAAACACACACAAAAGGGTTCCTTTATGAGAATGTTCAAGTGGAGCCTCCTCACTCCAGAGCAAATGTATAAACCAAGATCAAAAGACTTGTGAAAGAGAATGGACAATCTGGCCTAATGAAATACGGGCCAGAACCAACCCTAGATATAAGCCTATCCTTCCAAGGATATAGAAAGCCCACTTATAAGCCTTTCTTTTTCCAAAGCAGGCAGACCCTGCCCACTACCTTCCCAGTAGTTACAAATGCTGAGTGAAGCCACAGCATGTGGAGGTTAAGTTCTATGGGCAGTCGGCCCCACCTCAGCAACCATCCAGCAACACACAGGTCCTTGTACACCAGCAATACGCCCAGCTCATTGGGTACCCAGGCACAGTGCTCTGTATCGTCCAGACTGAGAGTAGGGCCCTTTATAAATACACAGGAAGGGCCCTGGGCCTCAGTTCCAGGGCCTCCTGGAAAAGCAAGACCCACCTCCCAAGGCCATAACTCATGCAGTGGGGAGCTGAAGCAGGCAGAACCCCAGAGCCTCATGGAGAGAGGGCTGGCCAAGGTCTAGATGCTTGGTGGAGGTTGGCTCAGGGTCCACTGGCCCCATCCCCAAAGCTCAGGCCACAGGGCCCTTATACACTTATGCTTCCCAGGCACCTCTCCCTGGGTTCTGTTCTACCCAGAACTTGCTGCTGAGCAGCTGGGCAAGAACAGATTGAATCAGGGCAGCCTCCTGAGACTCTAGCCTGGAGGCCCACCTGGACCTGATGAAACAATCTATACATCTGGGCACAGTCCTACCAAGCAATATATTTTTAAACAGTCTCTACCCAAGTGAGGCCAGGAAGTGTCTCCAGTGATGCCAAGGTGTTACTCCAACTTGTGGCTAGTAAAATACAATAACATGTAAGTTGTTTTCATTAACTACCTTGCTTATTAGCTAATAAAAATAAAAGCTCAGCATTACAAATTAAACTGAAGGGGCCAGGTGGCATGGTAGTTAAGGGTGCTGGACTTACACATGGCTAACCATGGTTCAAGTCCCAGACCTGGTGGCTTGCTTTCTCACTTTCTCTCTCTCTCTCTTTCTGTCCCTCTCTGGTCAAATTAAAAATAAATAAATAAACAAAGTTAAATAAAATAATTATTTTTTTTAAAAAAAATTAGACTAGAGACCAGCAGGTGGCATTGTAGTTAAGGTGGTGGACTTTCGCATGGCTGATGCAGTTTGAGTCCTGGATGTGGTGCCTTTAAAATCAGTGTGTGCGTGCATGCCCAAAATCTTGGGAAGAGAATGGAGAAGGGATTGCAGCGTGGCCATCCTCCCTGGGGGGTGATTTCTCACTTTCTATCTCTCTGTCTCTGTCTTTCTGGTGAACGCACACGTCCTATAGCAAAAAAACTTCTCAAAATAAATAATAAATAAATAAATAAATAAATTGAAGCCACTTATCACACATGGAAACCAGGGTTTCTTTCAGAAGTCACTAAAATATGTCACTCTTTGTACCTTATTTAAATTTCTCTGGAGCCCAGTGAATGAATTCGATCACTGTCCAGCTAATAAAGGAATAAATGTTCACTACATGTAGGAAGACAAAAGAGCCACACCTGGAACCTCAATGGAAGAAATGGCAATGGGACAAGGAGGGGCACTGAGCACCAAAAACAGCAGCTACTGGACTAGTTCAAGAGGAATGATCGATACAGCCCAAGGTCCATGAGCCAAAGAAAAGTCACATCATTCTCAAAGTGATGTCCCTTCCTCTGAGGCACCCTACCAAGGCCATGAGACACAGAACTGAGGGGCTGGGACCCTGGGCAGAGGACACAGGGAAAAATGTTGCTTCATACTCTCCCCCAAGTGAACCTCACTGCACAGTGGAGGAGCAAGCATGTTACCTATTGCCCTCTAGCTATCCCAGCCAGAGCCCAGGTACTAAAAGGTCTTGACTCTGGGGCCAAGTGAGTTCAGGACTTGAGATACCTGCACCTCTTCTTTTGTGGGGGATGGACTTCTATGCTGGAAAGGGGAACTAAAGGGGAGAGGAAAAAAAAAAAAAAAAAACCTCCACGAACAGAAAATCCACCCTCTCTCTAAACTGGAAGGAGGCCCAACTGAGCAAACAGCATTGGGCACTAAAGGAAAGATAGTCATAGCTGCTTGAAATGGAATGGACGTGTCAAGCCCGCCTGCCCTGAATCTGGCCAGGGCACTGCAAGAGCAAGGTCAATCACTCCGACCGTCCTTTCCAACAAGCGGGTCTTCATCCCCTCAAACCCAATGTAAACGATATATACATACATATGTGTGTGTGTGTATACATACATATATACATATATGTAAAAGACCAGAAAAGACAATAGCCAAATGGTGGCACTAAGCAACTGAGGACCTCTGGATGGAAACAGAACCAACAGTGCTGCGTTCTACCCTCCACATCTACCTGTCCTGGAGTTAGTGGTCACAAGGGCCAACTCTACTACCTGGGCCTCACCATCACTCTCTTCCTCGGGCCTCCTTAACAAGAACAAAATGCAGCTAGCCTTAGGCTCAGAGACCATCCTAAGGCTGGCGGTTTTACTCCAAATTCATCTCATTCAGATCAGTATCCAAGATCAGTGTTAGCGCAAGGCAGAGCTCCAAGACAAAGAGGATAAAGTCCAAAGGACAGGGCGAGTAGCCAAAGACCTCTACAGTGAGAAGTGAGGACGGTTACAGAGGCAGCAGAGGGGATGTGGATCACAATTTCTGATGGTCTAATATTTCTGTCAGTTTAATCTAAAGAATAGACCCTCACACACTCCTGTTTTCTAAAACCATTACCCACAGCCCTGATCTCAGGATCAGCATAATCCAAGTGACACTGAATCATGGTGTGTGCAAGTGTTTCTCACAGAGGCTGTAGGGGCGGATTGTTCCTGGGAGAGAGGGCTACAGAGAGCTGGGAGGGGATTACCCTCTCAGAGTTTGGTCATACTGGTCTGCCTGCCAACCCTGCCTCTCACCATCTGTCTGTTCTTATATCATTAGCATGGTGCCTCACAGAGAAAGAGCCTGTCTGATTTTAAACAGAAAGAAATAGACACTTAAAAAAAAAAAAAAACTGACTTGAAATAATCTTTCTTTGAAAAGGATTTTTAAAAGAAGGAAATTAACTCACTGCCGGGTATTTCTAAAGCTCTTGGTCTGAATGGATCAGCATCATCAGAGGCTACAATGAGCACCAAGCTACTTCTGCAGCCCCTCCAGGCCACTGGGGCTCTTACCTGTGCCATCTTGGCAAGGTCTAGGGAAGGCCTCTGCTCCTGCACTTCTTCAGGGCGCCTCCGTTTAATGCCCACCTTCTTGTCGTTAAGGACACATGGCTGGGAGCGGCTGCGGGAGAGCCCACTGGAGCGTCTGGCCAGCTCTGGCGTTGAGGCAGGTGTGCTGTTGGCTGAGGGTGGACAGTATTCCGCAAAGGAAAACTGCTCGTGTGAGCAGGAGAGGGACCGCTGCAGGTCCAGCCGGCCCCCTCCTACAGGGTGTGGGTCAGGGCTCCAGGTGTCACCCACCTGTCCAGAGGGGGCTAATCCTCGTGCCCCTTGGCAGAGTTGCCCCCCAAATCGGTGGTGAAGCCCCACCTGGTCGCAGGGTGATGAGAGTGTGTTAGCACGAGAAGGGAGGCTGAAGCTGGAGCTTCTCTGCATGGTGCTAGAGCCATTGGAATAGCGCTGCACACTGCCCCCACTGTAGCAGCGTCTCTTTTCCACAGGAGTCCATACTTTGGACCCCAAGGGCCTCCATGATGTCCGGCAGCTGGACATCTCATCAGAGAAAGACAGTGACCGGCACTGGCGCTTGCTGGGAGGTGCTGATGGGTTCCCGTTGTGGTCGCTGATGCTGAGATCTTTGATCAGGCTGGTCACAGTGCAGGCGGTAACCGTCTCCCTGTGCCACAGTGAGCTGTCCTGACACTTTTCAGGGAGGCATTCCCAGATGCTGGCACTCGGTTGGTCAATCTGAAGAGGGCATTTCCTATCCAGGTCTCTCCATCTGTCATTTTCTGGTACATAAATGAAAAATAGAAAATAGGATTTGAGAAGGCCTAGGCCAGCCCTCTATTTCCACATTTAGCAGCCCATTTAAAACACAGGATTTTAGAGCCAGAAGGCCCTTAAAAACCATCTAGTCTAACCTCATCTTACATATGAGAAATTGTGGCTCAGAGGGGGAAGTGAGCCCCAAGGGTGTTGAGTTGGAAGCAGAGGAAGGCGAGATTCCAGACATATCCCTAAGACTCCTGATATAGTTTTCTTTCTAACATACCACACTACTTCCCAGGAAAAGCAGTATTTTTCACCCAAAATGTTTTCTCATCTTAAAGGTAGGAGACCAACTTGCTTCAAAAAGTTCATGGAAAATGAAATTAAAGTACAAGTTTATATTAGCACAAAACAATTTTGAGTCCATGCGTAGTTTTTTCTCTTTTTTTGGAGACAGATTTTTGCTATAGGTCACATGCACTCACTGGAGAGACAGAGAGAGACAGAACGTGAGAGATCACCCCCCCAGGGGGTATGGCCATACTATAATCCTTTCTTCTCCATTTTCTCTCAGGTTTTTCTTTTTTTCTTTTTCTTTTTTTGGAGAGGTTTTTGCTATAAGGTGCATGTGCTCGCCAGACAGACAGAGAGAGACAGAGAGACAGAAAGCAAGAAATCACCCCCCAGGGGGGATGGCCACGCTGCAATCCCTTCTCCATTCTCCTCTCGGGATCTTGGGCATGCATGCACACGTGCCCGGCGTGAGTTTAAGCCCCTGGGTCTGGGACATGAACCACGGTCAACTACGTGGGAGTCCAGAGACATAGCCATTACGCTAACTGCTGGTCCCCATTTTCTCTCAGGATCTTGGGCATGCACATGCACGCACATGCGCCCAGTGTGAATTTTAAGCTGCTGCATCCAGGACTCAAACCAGGGTCAACTATGTGAAAGTCCAGCAATGTAACCATTATGCCATCTGCTGGTCCCATGCAGAGTCTTTTCATAATACCCAGTTTCTATGAACTTTCTGAAGACCTCTCACATCTGTTAAGTCCCTGCACAATACTCTATTGCTCATCAGACTAGCGGAAGACCACCACCAAAGATGAGTCTTTTGGTACTTCAGATGGCCAAGGTACAAATGGAGCCTGGCAGTACTGCCAGTTTAGTTCATCTGAATTCCATCCGTAAAGCACCTGCTAAGAGTAAAAACGGAATCTCTCATTGATTTATGCCTCCTACACGCTCAACAATATTAACATCAACAGCTTTCAGTCATAGCACTTTCTCTTTGTTTACTTGATTTCTGACAAAATTGAGGATACTTAAATCAATTAAAATCTGTAAAAGTAAGAACCAGCAGTTGGCGTAATGGCTATGTCACTGGACTCGCATGTAGTCAACTACAGTTTGAGTCCCAGACCAGGTGGTTTAAACTCATGCTGGGCGCATGTGCATGCATGCCCAAGAGGAGAATGGAGAAAAAGGGATTGTGGCTTGGCCAACCCCCCGGGGGGGGGTTTTCGCTTTCTCTTTCTTTTTGGTGAGTGCGCATGCCCTATAGCAAAAATCTCTAAAAAAAAAAAAAAAAAAAAAAAAAATCTGTAAGAGTAAGTCTTGGGCTCAACAGACCTAAGTGTACAAGTTAAACCCACATATTCAGGTCTCTACTTGAACATGTGAATAAATAAACCCTACTATAAAATACTGAATTTTCACTTGAACCTTTATTTCAGTAAAATATGCAAGAACTATTTGTTGGTTTTCTACTATGGAATTAGGCACTGGGCTTGGAATTTCTAGGAAGTAAAAAAAATTAGAATAGCTCTTATATTCCAGTTAATAGTTTTAAACCAAAGTTAAGAAATATGCTGTGGGGAACCAGCAGTTAGTGTAATGGCTATGTCGCTGGACTCCCACATAGTTGACCGCGGTTTGTGTCCCGGACCCGGTGGCTTAAAACTCACGCTGGGCGCGTGTGCGTGCGTGCCCAAGATCCCGAGAGGAGAATGGAGGAGAAGGGATTGCGGTGTGACCATCCCCCCTGGGGGGTGATTTCTCGCTTTCTGTCTCTATGTCTCTGTCTGGCGAGCGCACGCGCCCTATAGCAAAAACTTCTCAAAAAAAAAAAAAAAGAAAGAAAGAAATATGCTGTGGGGCCAGCAGGTGGCATGAAGGTTAAAGAGGCTGGATCCCACATGACTAACTGCACAGATTGAGTCCTGGACCTGGTGGCTTAAAGAACATGCTTGGTGCATGTGCATGCATGCTCAAAATCGCGAAAGGAGAATTAGAAAGGATTGAGGCAAGGTTGCCCTCCTCCCAGGGTGACATCTGTCTCTCTCTGGCAAACACACACACCCTATAGCCAACTTTTAAAATATACACACATGCACACTATGGTGTTGGGGACCAACATGTCAGCTCCTTCTATTTTTTCTAACCTACATATATTTATAGATTGTACAAATGTGAATGGCTTAAGTCAGTCAGCAGGATAGAGAAGTAAAACCTTAAATGTTAGGCAGGTTTTTAAATACATACTAATTCTCATAGAAAAGCAGATCATTTACTGAGCATTCAACCTGAGTCATATCACCTGCAAAGTGCCCTTATGTAAGTACCACCATGGCCCAAATGGAGAGACCAGGGTGGCGGAGAGGTTGAGTAACTGTCGCAGGACCACATGACAGGATACAAACCTATGTTAGGCTGCCCCAAAGCCCTGCTCCTTACAGTACAGAGCTGAGGGGAATCACAGGTAGGCCTGTGACACTAGCTCTACCCTCAAGGAGCTTATGGGTCAGGCAAGATGGACTGTAGGTTCAGAAAACCAAACCTATAGCCAGCCCATACGAGTTCTCCAGCCAGCAAAGACTACATACAGACTGAGATTCACCAATGGCCATTATAGAAAGGCACTGAGATACCCTGCACCAAGCACTATAAAAAGCAGTTACTGGACTGGTTCAAGAGAAATGACCAATTGGAACCAGCAGTTAGCGTAATGGCTAGGTCACTGGACTCCCACGTAGTCGACCGTGGTTCGCGTCCTGGAACCGGTGGCTTAAAACTCACACTGGGAGCGTGTGCGTGCGTGCCCAAGATCCCAAGAGGAGAATGGAGGAGAAGGGATTGCAGCGTGACCATCCCCCCTGGGGGGTGATTTCTCGCTTTCTGTCTCTATGTCTCTCTCTGTCTGTCTGGCGAGCTTCCGTTAAGTAAAAAATCCCCAAAAAAAAAAAAAAAAAAAAAAAAGAGAAATGACCAATGCAGCCCAAGGTCCATGAGCCAAAGGAAAAGCCATATCAGATCTCAAAGTAATGCTCCTTCCTCTCAGGCATCCTACCCAGGGCCATGAGACACAGAAGCTGAGGGGTTGGGACCTGGGGCATGGATCACAGAGAGAAACCACACATGAAGGGCCTTGGAAGCTGGAGACGCAGGAGAGATTTTCCCTCAGTACAGACAGGCCATTTGGGGATAAAGCAAGATTGTCACTAAACATCTAAACCATCTTATCCTAGACTCCTCCCCGGTCCTAACTATACAAGTCTCAATACCTTTCTGTCAGATTTAATAAATTATTTCCAAAAATCATCAGATAGTTGCATTTTTGCAGTTGTACTTATGCTGTCTTTTCCACCCAAGGAAATCATTCTCTTTGAGTGCTCACCATTTTTTTTGTTGTTTTTCTTTTTATTTTTTGAAGAGGTTTTTGCTATAGGGCATATGCGCTCACCAGAAAGACAGAGAGAGACAGAGATAGAAAGCGAGAAATCACTCCCCCAGGGGGGATGGCCACGCCACAATCCCTTCTCCTCCTTTCTCCTCTCGGAATCTTGGGCACGCACGCACACGCGCCCAGCGTGAGTTTAAGCCACCGGGTCCAGGACTCGAACCTCGGTCTACTACATGGGAGTTCAACGACATAGCCATCACGCTAACTGCTGTTCCCAGTATTTATCATTTTTTAAAAACAGTTTCAATTTGACATTAGTCAGCAACTGAAAGTTTAGTGAATGAAAATAATGAAGTAAAATGAAAAGAAATTCAGACTAACATTGAATAACAACTATCTTTTATCTGATTTAAAGTAAGAGAGAAAGTTATCTGAAGGAAAACCGTGGAGATTTATGTATGATGATGGTCATCAAAATGATAGTTTTTTAGCAAAAAAAAATAATAATAATAATAATTAAAATGTTCCACAGTAGGGAATTGGTTAAATAAATTCACAAGGAATAACACAGAGCATGAAAAGGCAGAATTTCAAAGAATATTTAATGATGTGAGAAAATGCTAATGACATAATGCTAAGCATGAAGAAATAGGATATAAAATTATATAGACATCTTGATTCCTATTTAGTAAAATATGTATGTTACATGTAAAGATGCAAAGGAAATACACCAAAAAAGTTAATAGCTGAATGGCATATAGCTGGCTGATTTATATTTCCTCCTCTTTGTTTTTCTATAGCCTCCAAATTTTCTGTGGAGGAACACGCATTACCAAATATGTAGGGTATGTGACCACCAAGCCCACTGGTGCTGCACTCCAGCTTAACTCAGGAAGTGAGCCAAAGTCGGGGTCAGGGCCTCCAACCCTGTCCTTCTCTGGGTTTACTCCTCTGGGTTTTCAGGAAGTTGTTGTAGAATAAGCTGGCCAACAAATTCTCTTTTGGGACAAGGCACTAAGATGCCAGGAATGTAGAAAACTGAGGAAGGAACCAGTGGGCCACGTCACAGAGCAATGGAGGCCCCAAGATGGCATCGTGGCAGCCAATGCTTAAGGAGTCTGAGGCACACTACAGAATGTCTCAGGCCTCGGGAAGCCTGTGACATTAAAAGAGGTTGATCCCATTCTCAGAGCCCACCACCTCCTGTTCCATTTTTGTTTTAGTAGCTGAGACTTTTGTCTATCTCTAAGGAAATCACGAGAAGAAAGGGAAACTAGAAGCCAGTTAGACATGAACGTTGTCTCTTCGCTCTGGTAGGGCCCTCCCTTTCCCATG